CTGAGGCCAAACAAGGACGAGCTGTGAGATCAGACGAGGCCACGTGCTTCTAACAGGCTCCTCAGACCTCCCATCAGCCCCTGCGGCCGACAGATAAGCCGCCGTGCTGATTGACAGCTCGGCTGAAGCTGCGTGTGCTTTCATTTTATTATTGACACTATTTCTCTTTGTTTGATTCTCATTATTTGGAGCTTTTTTCTGATGATTCTTTTTCCCAGACTTCTCTGTCTTCTGAACTGATTCAGTGAGAAGTTTCTTGGTCTTTGATTTGAATCTGACAGCAGATGAAAAATCTGGGTGACGATGATGCAGAAATAGAAAAAAGCATTCCTGTTGCACAAACACATTCAGGTTGGTGGTGATTTAGTAACACACAGCTGTTATCTTTGTTTAACAGCTGGGATGGAAATACAAAACTACAAATCCACAAAACCAACCCAGTCTCATATAAAAACGTACCCTGGCTACGTTGGTCCAAAGTGCAAAAGCGTAGAGGGGTTACAATAATGGCCTTTAAATTGTATCACTGTTACATTTTTTCTGCCTTTTCTTTTCTTATTGTTTTGCGTCCAGTCACATGACTTTCAAGAGTCTTTCTCTCATTTTTAGTGGAAAAATCAATATTTTGAGTTAGTTTCTGCATAAAAATGGCTTTTGTTTACATTTCTAGCGAGAAAATGTATTTATTTCATCAATTCACTCAGCTGAATTACATAATCACTCGCCGTGCTCGTTGTTGAGAAGATGTTTCAGATCTGGCCCAGAATAATGTTGAACCTGAAACGGTTTGGTTGCTATGGACGCTGCCAGATTCACATATGTTAAATTAAATATCTCTTGTCTTAAAGATATTTGGTTTTAAACGCAGCACTACAGGTAGACTGACGTCACATATGACGCTTTTAATAATCCCGCCTTCAGTTATTGACGTATTTTTGATAGCGGAAGTAGCAACATTGCCGTTACTATGGAGATGAGGACCGTCCGCCTTGCGCACGTGAGCAGAGCAGTTGGCGCGCTGGTCCTTCTTAGTTCAAATATTCGGTG